ACACACACACACACACACACACACACACACACAGACACACACACACACACACACACACACACACACACACACACACACACACACACACACACACACACACACACACACACACACACACACACACCCTCTCTCTGTCCGCCGGATCCTGATGGAGAGTGTAATTTGTGCGTGGCAGGGTGGAGATGGATGGGGCATGTAAAGCAGACATAGGGAAGTGGTTATGATTGGGGCTAATGAGCTCACAGGGGACGCATGGATAGAGGACGCTGGCCAATGGCAGGCCTGGCTCAGATTCATGTTTCTGGAGGGTCCCTGCTGAGCTGAGACCCTCATTGCCCCTTGGGAATGTGTCTATGTATGAGTGTGTTTGGGTCGTTCCTGTTTGAAAACCCAACAGTCCCTGTGGTCATTATACACTCATTGTGCTGAGCTGGTTATTATTGGGCTCCATGGACAGGGGTAGTTAAGCATTTAGATGTCGGATCACATGCGTCGTTAAGTCAAGGTCACTGCTAACTGGTGAAACACAGAGGGATACGCTTGTTTTTTGACTGCTATTGAGCATAAAGCGCTTTTCTTGGTAGAGCAGAGCAAACTCATAGAAACTAAGTGATGATTGCTAACACTGCATCAGTGGCAAGTGTGGGTGTGTGCTAACAGGTGTGTGTGACAGTGTGTCATTCTGTGTGTGTCTCATTACCATGCATGGTGTGTCAGTGTTGTCCAGGAGGCTGAGCCTCCGCGCAGAGCTCCAGGGGGGAGTTATAGATTACTGGCTGGAGCATGCAGGGGCCAGGGGAGCCGCTGGAGCCGGGGCCCGAACACTGCAGGCGGGGCACGGCTCTCAGCTCATCAGCCTGTCTCTTGAGGGTCCGGAGCTTAACCCGGAGCAAGGCTCTGATTAACCAGACTAATGACGGTGCAGCCCCCAGCTCCCACTGCCCAGCACCATAATCACTGCTTAAGGCCCTGGCCAGTCTGTGTCTCTAAATGGAGAGAGAGCGGTGTCACAGCTTAATGGATAAGTCTACTGACAACGAGCATTTTAAGTCAGCTGTCAATACACACTTAGAGTCACTCACATGGCAGGAGACCAAGGCATGACAGGCTGGAATGAGATCTAATACATTCAGAGCTTAAATAATGTTTCCTGTGTTTGTCAGCTGTACGTGTTCATGTGGCTGAGTGTGTGCATGCAAATATGTGTCAGGGTCGGATGTGTTTAATGAGTGCTGATCGATGGCTCATCGGTGCCTCCTTATCTCTAAAGCAAACATTTCATCTGCACAATGGAAGCTTTCAGCCTTTGGTACACACAGAGACCCCAACAGACAAACCTCAAAAAACAAGATATGTATGCAAATAAGACAAAGACAGACCTGTTTTTGTTCATACAACGCTTACACAGTATTTAGCTATGAGTGTAATAAGCAAACAACAATTAGGACAAATGTCTTTTCGTTGTCTTTGTGGGTGTGAAGGTGTGAAAGGTGTGGCGAGGGTGCATTTGCTCTGCAGGCAGAAGAACGTGCCAATAGTGTTTACTGTCCTCTGTGAGTAAAGTGATTTCTGACAACTCCTAAATGAAGCCCTGGGGGAAGGGGGGCTGCAGCTATCACAGACCTGCTTTATGACTGTTTGTGTGTGTGAGAGAGTTGGAGACTGAGCTAATAGCTTGCGTTATACGAGGGGGTGAATCGATAAGTGATCTAACCACTCTCTGATGGGAATGAGGTGGTAGGTTTCGAACATTGAGTTTAGATGACAAAATAAGACAAAACCTATGGGTTTATAGTTCTGCAGCTCTACCAGGGGGTACAATGATATCTCTGCAGCTCTACTACACAAATGAGCAAAATAGTAAAAGTATAAAAAATATTAAGAAAGGAGAGATATCTTAACTACAGGAGATGTGCAGGCTTTATTTTTATTGGATAGCCAAGGATGTGCCTCCCATGTTTTATCATTACAATGAAATTACAAAGCTAAGAATCTGTTTGAAATACCCGTAGATTTGTGCAAATATTGTATAAGGGATTAACTCAGATATAAACAACAGCCCATCTTCAATTTAATGAAGGGACACGTCACTCTTAAACATATCAATTCATGGGATTCTTGGTTTCTAAGACATTCATAGGATCTTTTGACAGTTAGAGAAACAACGCATCTCCCAAGCTTTATCAGTCAAAGTAAAGCAGCCCTAGCAGAGTAGATATGAGTATGCAGGACTCATATTGCATGTGCCGGTCTGAGCCTACAGGGGCTGTTATTGACTGACAGCCCTGACTAAGCCATCATCGCTGCTGATCCTCCGTAACATCCTGGTCTTACCTTGTTTGTCCAGGTGAACAATTGTGGGTGGCTTGATGTGTGCCAGCTAGCATTTTTCTACAAGTATGTGTTTACAGTATATATGTGTGTGTGGGGTTAGCTCTGCCTTTACAAGTGCTGGCTGATGGCTAAGCAGAGGACAGATCCAGGCCTGCACTCATAGCAGCTGTGTTTCTGAATGGATCCAGCGGCCATTGTTCTCCTGTCACTAACCCGTCTCTCAGGCCCAGGAGACCCACCGCTGACATTTACCAGATCTCCCCCCCATCCTGCCTCACCCTCTCCTCATCGCTTCTCTACTAGCATCTCTTTTCTCTCTCTTTCTGCTCCCATCAGGTCCATGTTCACTCTCTCTTTCCATCACTCCATCTCTCTCTGTGGCAAGATGTACGGGGACAGAAGTGTGTGGATAGGTGTGTACGTGTGTGCGGGAGAGTGAGTGTTTGTGTTAATGAGTGGCCCTTTAAGGCTATTAAGATAAGATTGCTACGCCCAGAGTCCCTCATTACCCAGCAAGCATTGCCCCTTACACGGAATGGTAATTGGGATGGAGAGAAAAAGAGAGAGGGTCGGCTGGTAGAAGTGGGAATAATAGGAGGATAAACGAGGGATAATTGGGTGGATCGAGAACAAGAGAAACGATTGATCAGGTTGATTTGTGTTTGAGAGAGACGGTGTGAAGAGGGAAAGGGTTAAAGGTCACACACTCTTGTATGAACACACGTATGATACAAAAAATCCACATGTTAGATATACTCTTAGAACTGCAAGCAATGTATACATAGAAGTTCACATGCAATGCAAAAATAAAGTGTGTGTGTGAGTATGATTGTGGATGTCAGTCAGCCTTTGATCTGTCTGACAGTCATTATTGTCTATTTACATTATATGATGAGTCTGTTTCAGACTGTGTAACACCAGCATCACCTACAGGACACACACATGAACAGCAACGTTCCTCAGCGTATCTGTGTCTCGCTCACCTGCAGTCACTACTCGATAAAATATGAAACTTACAACACTTTTAACACTGTGGTTACTTTTTGACCAAATACTAAACAATTTAATTATATGATTACATATTCAATTTAAATCAATTTAAACAAAGCTAGCAGTCCAAACGTGCAATATGTGTGCATAAAAGTGTGTACAGACCCATTCAATAACTGTTACAAAACCAATTAAATATTAAGTATTTCTAGGCATCACTGCCGTAGTTATGATTTCTAACGAATGGATGATTCTGATGCTAAAGGTCTGTTTACACTTCTGTGAGTGTCCACTTATAGGCTGACTCATGACTCATTATACTTTGAGAAGATTACACAAATGATTATAACCGGACATGGGGCAAGTGTTACATTTTTTTATTTCATTAGTTCATGACTTGCAATTCTGTACATTTTATTTCCGCAAGGCGCACAGTAATGAGCTATTATTAGCTACAGATTTAGTTGTTCATTTATAAAGTAGTTTTTCATCAGCTTTAATTTCTCAGAAAGACACAGGCACAATGAAATTACCGAAGTCTTAAAAAAACATGTAGCTAAAACTTTGATTTGTTCTTTACCTTTACTGAAATAAAATGATGTGATATACATTTTGTACCCACGGCAGTCTAAGATAGTACTGACTCCATCAGATGGGAAATGTCTCTAAATGAAAAGTAAAAATGATAAATAGTTGCCTAAGAACAGATTCTCTGAAATGAGGTTCAAACTGTGGTTTTATATCACCATCATGTGGCAGGACTGTGTACCACCACTGAAAAAGACAGAGGATGGAGCATGAAGTCAAGGATGTGAGTGAAGACCTATAGATTATGTTTAGTTCAGTAAAAATAATGCATATTCACCAATTCACACTCTGCAAACAACCATGTCTGTCTCCGATTTTGTATGAATTAAAAAAAATCACCATCAACATAGCAACACATATAGGTTCACACATGCTCTGTTGTTTTACAAAAGCAGTAAGAGGAGACTTATTGGGTTATCTGGAACTAAATGCACACATTAAAGCTGGACTGCACATTATTAAATACATAATGCATTGAGAAGGCGCATACAAGACTGCACAATCATCATACATTTTTTAATTGCATCTTCAGACCCAGATACACATGTTTTTAACAAATGGGACACGTGCCTGATTGTTTCCATTAAAGAAAAACACAACAATTACAAACATGGTGGGTATTAACAGCCTGATTTTAGTATTTTTACTTTTATTCAAATAAATAGACAATTTTCTTATTTCTTCAGAAGAATGTTATGTTATTTAGCCTTAAAAGAGTTTGCTTTTAAATTCAAATATGTGTGTGAATAGATTAAGTTTGCAATAATGTAACTGAACTAAAAAACATTCTGGCATTGACACATTTTTTTATTTCCAACCAACTTGTATTTATTTAAGACTTTTCATGCTTTTGCTATGGCCCTTTTTTCAGAAGTAGCCTATGGGATACAATCCATCTTCTCCAAATGACCGATTTCCGTTTTATAAACAACCTCTCACTTTCGGACTATGGGAACTGATCCCCAATTGATTGATCCTGATCACAGCACGTAGCGGCTCCTCATTGGATGTTACTGTGATTGACTGAGGAGAAGAAGAGAGGGAGGCCGGGCGAAACCATTCATCCAGCCAACACTCCGACTGAAAAATATTTGAAGCTTAAAGAGCACTGCTATGAATCTAGATTCGGATTTCAAAGAGGATTATGATCGTTTAGCTGAATTAGACGGTGCGATTACAAATATGGGTAATTTAGGATTGGATTAGCTTTAATCACACGGTCATCGGCGCTGAATCCCCCCACATCCATACGAATACACAGCAAACAGGCAATTGGGATGCGGGGATGATGTTTGTGACGCTGCGATGGGAAGGCCCTACCTGTGAAGATACCGACATTCAAACAATAATGAGGATCCGATTTGATTTCGAGTTGCTTTAGTTGTTTTTATCGCTTCATTTTTGTCAATTTATCGAACCATGATTTTCCTGCGGAGGCTCGTGCAGTTATTGGCGCTGGTGGTACAGAGCGGATGGTGGGGGGTCGCGCCGAGCCCCACCGATGAAGGAGCACTCAGGTCCGGCCACGGGGAGCACGGAGAGCCGGGACACCAGGAGCCTCACAAAGACACCTACAGCACCTTCGCCTCCGAGTTCCTGGAGTCCAGGCATCTGTCCGATGACGGTAAGGATGTAATGCATTGGTACTGATTGCTAGTTGGTGGGTTTTGTTTACATGTCATGCACCATACACACATATCTATACAAGAGTTAAGCATAAACACTGCAAATTAAACACTAACTGTAAGCAGAAAGTGAACAAGTGCTGTTTATGTAGTGGTTCATTCTACCTGTCTACAGTGTTACAGGCCTTTCAGCACCCAGGCCAGCTCCCCCATTGGTAGCTGTCAACCCCCACTTCCACACACACACACACACACACACACACACACACACACACACACACACACACACACACACACACACACACACACACACACACACACACACACACACCACACACACACACACACATACACAGTGCAGATGGCCTCTAGTTGGCCCCTTTGACTGTCTTAGCCACAATCAATTGTTTTTGTGCCGAACCAACAGTGCTGATTTTGCATTTCGCAGGTTATCCATTCCCCACCGCCCCACCAGTAGATCCCTTTGCCAGGATCAAAGTCGTTGACTGTGGAGTAACCAAAGGCTGCATAAGGTAAGAGAAGGGTGCATGCTTTTCAGCTCTAACTTACTGAGCAGATCTCTGGTGCAGATGTATTCCCCAGGGCTGCCCTATCCTAGATGCTGCTGCAGCCGGACTTCAGAAAGCTGGAGCTAAACATAGACCTCTCCACTGTGTTGTCTCTGTTTTTTTAAACCTGGATAAAACTCATTTTAAAGGTTTACATTTGGTCTTAATGTTATCATGTGAAGCTCATGTTCTCAACTGAGATCTGTTCGTCATTAGTGGCTTAAAAGTGAACGTTTTTATTTGTTTATGTACAGATATGGGAAGCCAGGTTGTGATGCAGAAACGTGCGACTATTTTCTGAGTTATCGCCGCATCGGGACAGACGTGGAGTATGAGATGAGCGCAGACACAGATGGCTGGGTGGCCGTAGGTTTCTCCTCGGACAAGAAAATGGTGAGCAGCTGCACAACAACAACAACAACAACAACAACTCTGACTGTAATACTGTTTTAGAGATAGCACCACACACATTGTGTTATTACATCAAATTTTAGTCTAATCTTTTGCTGAGACCAAGTTACTAGTTTAAAAACACGGAAGTTAAGACAGTTGTTTACATTATAATAGTGAACATCTGTTTTACACCCCATAATCAAGGCTAGGCACTATATATCGTATTAGTTATTGTCTAATAGCTAGGGGGCAGAAGGGTCTTCTGTGAGGAGTTTGCATGTTGTTCTCATGTGGTCTGATTTTTAAGAGTCCTCTGACTTCCTCCCACAGTCCAAAGCCATGCAGCTTAGGTCATTTCTAAATCTAAATGGCCTAAAGTTTTGAATTAAGTCATTCAAAGGACTAACTAAAGTTATCTCCCAAGATTGAACTTTGACATATCCACAAGTTGAAGATGAGTTTGACAGCTAACCCGCAGTCTCAGCTAGACATTTTTATTTTAAATATTGACTTTTTCCTATTTTGCCTATTCCTAGATGACTTTAATTTGTGGAAAACCAACTCATGTGCATTGAGAATCAGAGTACTGTATAGCTTTGCCTCCAGTCTGTAACTCCAGTCTAATCTTGTGACAGTTATTTGAAAGAAAACACTAGGGGCTGAATGTCCTTTCATGAACAATAATAGTATCCGTCCTAGTTATTTTATTTATACCTTGTATTTTAATCTAACTTTATTAAAAAAAAATGATATGTAGCTATTTGGAATAAGAAAGCAACTAATTATTTCCTGTTTCCTCAGGGAGGAGACGATGTCATGGGCTGTGTCCATGACGATAACGGACGTGTACGGATTCATCACTTCTACAATGTCGGCCAGTGGGCCAAGGAGATAAAGAGGAACCCTGCTAGAGATGAAGAGGGCATTTTTGATAACAACCGGGTGACCTGCCGTTTCAAACGGCCGTTATATGTTCCCAGAGAGGAAACACTTGTGGACTTACACTTGTCATGGTATTACCTGTTTGCATGGGGACCCGCTATACAAGGTAATGGATTAAGCTTAGCATCAAGTCAACTGTCTTTGTGCTATTTTTGTTTTTCATGACATCTTACATCGTCTTACCTTTTCAACAGGTTCCATCACGAGGCATGACATCGACAATCCGCCTGTCAGCGACCGCATGGTCAGCATCTATAAGTACGAGGACCTTTTCATGCCTTCCACAGCCTACCAGACCTTCAACTCTCCTCTCTGCTTACTGCTTATTGTAGCCCTCACCTTCTACCTACTAATGGGAACGCCATAATGACGCACAGCAGAGCACATAGTGGAAGAAAGATGGAAGAGAAGATGAAGCAGCAATACAAAAAGGTCTGATGCCACAATCAAGTGTGAACTTTGCACAAAGAGACACTGTATTAGAAATGTTAAACATAAAAAAGTCTATAAACATAACTCATAAACAGAATTTTGCCAAATTATTATACCTATATTGTAGAGGTGTCATGTACTGTTGTCAGTACACATTTTTTTCTGAGATTATTGTTATAGTAAAAATAGGTCAACTATTTTCTGTATTTATCATAGATTTTAAGTATTTACAAAAGAGGACTATACACGACAACAGATACATCTCACAAGTCTTCAAAATACAGCATGCCCTTGGAAATCTGAAAATGATTAAAAAAACAGCGATTCAATGGTGATGAGGAGACAGTGCCTCGTGTTGGACTCAGGCTAAAGCGGGCTAAAAAAGGACAAAGAAAAACAAGTAGCTCACAGCCGTTTGCACATTATCTTCATGTCTCTTTACCATTGTATGTTTAAATAGACTCCAGGCTTTGGAGAAACTAGAAAAGGTGGTTTATTTGCTGATCCTACTATCACAAAATATAGTTTTCAAGATTTCACTTTGCAAAAGCATTATGTTTGGCACTAAACTTTTCCTAAAATGTACTTTAAGATTGTTTTCTCTTTTATTTCACAGTGGCTATTGGGTTTGTTTATTAGTACTGTGGCACTCTGACTGCTACATGACTGCAAGAATACAATATACTCAAGACAACACAGATTGTGCTGTGCATGACAATATAAGGGAATAGAAAATTATTTTTAATAGAAATTACAAAAAAATTATAAGATGGGACATTGAGGACCAACGTCTTGTCATCTGTATTTTTAAAACACGGGGGCTTCTTCAACATGTTTACTGTGTTTGTAAGTGTAAAAATAGTCTTCCAGGGTAAAGCAAACCTTTATTTGGTGTAGTTTAAAGAAAAATAAAAGATGCCATATATTAACAATTAAATACAATTAACGTTTATATTGCATTCAACCACCAACATTGTTTCAAGGGCCCTGCTTCCTTGGCTTCAATGCACACAATGTGTTTGCAACATTTACCTGAAAAAGAAAACCTGTCAATTAAAATGTGTGTTGTTATGACCTAATAGTGACTGTATCAATAAGCCAACTGTTGTCTTTTTTAAGCAGGCCAAATTAAAACACTTCTTGTTCATAAAAGCTACGTGTAAGACTCAGTTATGTGCTAACTTCAGTCAAATTGTTGTGATGTGCATTGCTTTTTTCAAATGTGTAATTCTTTAAATACTAGCAATGTGGGGCAACACCAGCCGGAAATGAAGATTGGAACAACAGTATTATGGTTGTAAATTATTTAGTAGATTTATAACATTATGCAGCACCACACTTTAAAAGATAAAGAACATAATCCAAACAAAAACAAAAAACCGGAAGCGTTTGTTTCTGTCTTTTCACTACATTTCCCATGGTGCCTTGGGCCTTTCGTTAGCGCTACGTCACATGTTTTCCTCCCTCACGCGTCGGCTTGGATTCCTCGGGTAGACTACAGAGGCAGAGTCGGGGAACATGGCAGACGAGGAGGACTCGGTGCCGGGCACCGCCGCCCCCTGTCCCCCGGGCAGCCCTCTCTCCGGGCGGCCTCACTCGGTCTTCTTCTCCGAGAGTGTGCAGCCGGCCGTCGGGATGGTGAGCCAGCTGCTAACCCAGCCGTCCTCCCTGAAGTTTGATAAAAACATTAAACAGGCCTTCTATAACACGGGGGCGATGATCTTTGTGGCGATATGCTGCGGAGCTACTGTCCTGGTGTACTTCATCCTGGAGGCCTTCCTCCGGCCGCTGCTGTGGGCCGTGCTCTGCGGGACCTTCCTCCACCCCTTCAAGCACTCCTTGGCTCGGCTCGGCCGCTCTTGGCTCAGCGGCCTGCAGGAGACCGGGACGCCCATCGTGATGGGGACCCTGCTGATCCCGGTGTGGTGTGTGAACTACTTGGTGGAGGCGATGGGCCGGCTGGTGCTGCAGAGGCTCACGGTGCTGCTGGTGATCGGGGCCGGGGCGCCGCTAGTGTACTTCCTGTACCTGTTCTGGAGCGTCATCGGCATGCAGGTGATCATCGGGCACGTCTGCTCGGTCATCGGGGCCGTGCTGGACTGTTTCCACACTGTGTGGGTGAGTGAATGGACAGTGGTACCCCCCCACCCTGTAATGATGACAAGACACCCTCTGTGACCCAATGTGTCAGTGTGGAGCTCTGTCAGCTGGACCCCCTAAACAGCTCAGAGAGTAGCTGGGACACAGGGTTACAGTCTACACCAGGGGTTTTCAAAGTGTGGGAAGGTGAGCCTCCCCTCAGAGAATATAAGAACAGCCGCGCCCCCCCTCCCAATTATTATTGCTATTATTATTATTATTATTGTTGTTGCTATAATGCAGGGGTATTATTATCCAGTGGAATGCCCTTACCTACTGGCCTAGTTAAATCAAAGTGGTTACTTATTTTTGTCTGGGCAGTGTAGTTTTACACACCATCTTATTTGACTTTCTCAGGGCAGACCCCCACAAAGAAAAAAATATATGTACACACGTAAGGTCATCATCTTAACAGTTTTTAATGCTCGAGTCATCCGTGAGCAGAGCATCAAGTTGGCATGCCTATTACAGCTGAATGCGGCGATTACCATCTTGTTCAGCAAAACGCCTCACAAACGTATTAACATCCAAAGCTTTAGTGCGTTTTGATTCAATGCTGAGCACAGCCAAACTTGACAGTCTCTTCTCTGTCATTGTAGACCGCAAATACCTTATTCCTTCCGTGTACTTGGGTCCGAATGCTTCTCGTTTTCTGCCGCCCGTTCAAATGAAATCGCCGCCAATCACATTTCCTCGCTCGCGCCAGGGTTACAAGGCTCGCGTCTTGTGCTGCATTCACTTGCACTCGGACATCAGGGATTTTCTCTGATAAATGTCCGATGAGCCACAACTTTTATTTCAAAACAAAGCTGCCAACTGGGGTGGCCAGACGCTGTCTCCTCTCTCACTTTAGGTAACTTCACTAAAAATCGATCCATGTTGCCGCTCGCATAAAGTTAGCTGAAGTTAACGAGCTAGATTTCATTGTTTCTCTTTATTTTTTTCTCACGCTGCGCCTCCCCTGAAGCTCTCTGGCGCCCCCCAGGGGAGGCGCGCCTCACACTTTGAAAACCGCTGGTCTACACCACTATACATTATAATACGTTTTCCGTTTGATTTGCCTATACTTCTTTCTAAAACATGTATTCAAAACAAAACATTCTGAAATTGATGCAGTTCACCAAATGTAGTCTTATCAGCAACAAGTTTGAAGTTAATTATTCTTCTTTAAATGTGTTATTATTTAGTTAAGGAGGAGTTTTTTATAATGTTTTTTTCTTATTTTCCCAGTTTGATTAAAATGAGCTCAGAATAATGAATGTATAAGAGTTCAATTGATAAACAAATTATGCAGTATGATCAGTAGTTAATAAACAATACAACTGAGTTCAAAGAATTGCAGAATAACAAATTGCATCAAATAGATGGAAATACATTTCCTTGAACGTGTCTCATAATGGGTTATACCGTTAATCTATTTTTCTTGGAAAATATGCCTAAACTTGTGTTTTAGCTAATAAGATTTCCTGCTGTTTCAGTGTCTGATCGATTAATACCTTATTATTCCAAAACAGCCTTAGGGTCTGAGCCCAGCTACGCTTTGACTAAATACAAATCAGATTAAATGTTCCTCCTCAGACAGCCTGTCCTTTCTCTAAATGCAGATGTAGACTGTCACAGGGCCCTTGTCCGAAAACAGAATTGAGGACATTGTATTAAATTACATCGAAAGATGTCTTTGTGTGGAGTTGAACTGGGTAAGACCTTTGAGACCATCTGATTACAGACTGAAGGATCATATTTCATGCTTTTCCTACCAAACAGCAGCAGATTGTCTGTTGGTAAGATGATCACCACCATGGAAAATCATAAACAAATTGTATTTGGAAGAAGCATCAGATGAGCAGAGGTTACAACATGTACCTTGATCTGATTGCAACCATTACCATCTTTAGATTTTCATTATGTGCCACTCTGCCTCTTTGCTCCCTCTCAGGTGTGCCCCGTGGTGTTTGGCTACTTTTTGGCTGTTTGTTTGAAGTGGAGTCCCAACACTGAGCACTACCTCCGGGCCGTGGCTCTCCCTGTCTGGGCCGTCCTGCTCTTTTACACCGGTGAGTGTGAGGAGGAGGGGAAGCCTGCAGAGTCTGCTCAGACATGTTGGTTTCATTCCACACTCCATTTAGATTCCTTCATTGCCCCTAGGAACATTTCTTCACATTCGACATACTAGGCAGGTAGCTTGAAACAGGCTTCACAAAATGAAGCAAACCTTTTTTTTTACACAGTCAATGGAGTGAAGTAGTTTTCTATTTCCCCTTACACAGATCACATGCAGAGTTTCATAGTAAGATGAAGTCCCCAGTATTTTTAGCACACTTAAGGCTTGCCATAAAACACTTGTTGACCTCCGGGCGTGAAAAGTGACAGAGAGCATACTGTATAGGGCTATCCCAAGCCTGTAGACATATCTGATCTCTGTTTAGCACCTATCCTTATACAAATGTTACGGAATAAATAATATTATTGCTGTAATTATAGCAAGACATACGTTCAGCTTATACAGTAGTGCACCATATGTAAACATTTTTGTCAAGAAATAACAAATAATGTAACAAAATGTCATGAAGGTAAAGAGCAAAATGTATCTCCAAAATATTGAGATGTATTTATTTAGTTATTACTGCCCTGGTTTCTGCATCTGTTTTCAGTGTCTCTGACCGGCTCCTGGAGGGTGCCCATATTTGTGGTTGTGGTTGCCCTCATCATCGTGGGATCCCAAGAGAAACCACCTGTCCCTGGCAGAGGTGAGGATTTATGAACACACACACATCCACATTTACCACAGTAAGAAGCCTCTGCTCCCGGTCAACTGGGCATTCATAAATAACTGAATAGAGTGCTGGTACATGTCAAATATATATATATAATATGTTAATTTGTGAACTTCAGATGTGCTGGTGCAGCCCTGTTTACAGTTTTCATGCTAAGTTAACTTTCTTCTGAATACAGCATTACATTATATGAGTGGTATCAATATTCTCATCTTACTGTCAGCAAGAAAGCCAACAAGTTCTCTAAATGTCAATTTATAGCCTTATAATCAAGGTGTATGAAATCATCTTGAAATACAATATGTTGAACGACCATAGGAAAGAATCCTGTTCTCAAACTATCATCCAGCAGCAGAAAAAATAAAAACACCTTTGATATAATGTGACCAATCTAGTCCTCGAGCTACCACTTACATTTAGTTATACAGTATCTTAGTAAAGCTTTACCTAAAACACGAGGTGGACAGTTTAGGCCAGTGAAAATACCACACAAACTCACAAGAAAATGTGTTTCTTTTTGCTGTGCTGTTATTTGTGACTGGTATTTTTTGTCTCTCTTCACCTCCCCAGGAGAGCTGTCGGGGCAGGTGTTGTCGTTTGCTGCTAACACTATTTACATGGCAATCTCCTGTAGCAACCTTAAGATGAAAACTGAGCCGGGTGAAAACTCTACTACAGGTAAGAGAGCTCACTTTGAAGTTTGTTAGAGAAGGTCAACAACCACCATACTGTACTTAATCAAGTAAACAGACAATAAAGCATTCTGTTTTAAAAGTGTTGAACCCTGTAACCTGTTGGTGGGTTTGAAAGGCATTTTTTTTACAAATTGCCAAAAGGATACCATTTACACATTTCATTGGATTATTACATTTGAGTGAATCATGTGTGATCAACATTCCCACCTAATTATCATCAAATCAAATGATCAAGCCATGATTGTGATTGTTCAATAGAGGTGGAGGAATTATACAAACATATATATATTGCAGTGAAAAACAAGCCAAACCAAAATTCAAAACAGAATTAAACTAAAATCTTGAAAGAGCTTGGGATTCAGATGGTTAATGGATATTAATCTCCAAACTACTTTTAATATAGAAGCTGCATTGTTACTACATACAGTCAACATTTTCTCTGACCCAGCAACCTTTAAGGAACAAGACACTTCTGCTTTGGCTTTACCATTTAACCATGGTGGTTTTTTACTTTGTAAAACAAACCATAGTCCATCGTCATTGC